GAAAGTTTCTAAGACTCTAAAACACACTCAATACAGTTCCCATATGTATACTTTTGCTAAGAATTTATATCATAAACAATTATTGAAATTTATAAAATGTTTTTCTGAATCAAATCAGGAAAATCTATTTTTCCTCTTAACTATTAAAATGGCAAATTACATTAACAACTGTTTTAAAGATGAACTATCTTTGAATTCCTGAACTAAACACTATTTGATCATCATCCATCACTTTTTTAGTATATTCTTAGACTCAGATGGCTGGTATTTTATTTAGGATCCTTTCATTCACATTAATAAAGGAAATGGCTTTTATAATGTCTTCTTTTCAATCTATCAGGGACTGAAATCAAGATTATTATTCTATTTTCTGTAGTAACTTGTGTAAGAAAAGAATGAATTGTCCCTTTAAAATTTGGCAGAATTTACCTATGGTCATTCCAGTATGGGATTTGGGGGAGGGAAGATCTTTGTCATTTTAATGTTTTTTATACTGTATTCAAGTTGTCTATCACTTTTCTACAAATTCATCTATTTCATCTAAGTTTTCAAGTTGTTTAGCATTATAGTTCTCATATTTCAGCAGCTGCCAGACTTTCTTGGTTCACAGCACCTTTAGTATCTCAATAGTTTTTTTTCCTAGACCGAAAGAAATGCTTGTCTGTTTACTAAATAGGTTCAAACGACTTAGTAGCCATTGGGCGCTGCACAATTTCTCAAATCTTTGAATCAGACTCGACACTTTTTGTACTCCACAGGTATTTGCTTTTCAATCACGGCAATGCCAGAGACCCAGCTTTACAAGATTTGACATCATTCAAAGGAATGCAGTGAGTGTACTTCTTAATTTTCATTTTGAATTTTCTGTACTTGCATCTTCTCTTTTGCTTTTTCAGTCTTGCCAAAAATTTGACTTCATAGTTACAGAGTCAGTATCACAACATTTCACTTTTGTTTCATTTTCTGACCTTTTAATTTCCCTTCTTTTTCTTTTGAGTGTGCTCACTGTTCTTTTTCTAACTTCTTAACACCAAAAGCTTACCTTGTTTATTTTTTTAGTAATACTACTTACAGAAAATTTGCAAAAATATTGAGTCCCATTATACCCTTACCGAACTTTCCTAATACTAACCAGAGTACAAGGGAATTAACATTGGCACAATATTAACTACAGACCTTATTAAAATGTTATCAGTTTTCCAATAGGTCTTTTTTTCTTTTCCAGGATCCAGTATGGGATCCCACATTGCATTAGAAGCCACATATTCTTAATATCCTCCAATTAGTAAGTTCTTCAGTCTTTTCTTGACTTTCATGACCAACACCCTTTTGAAGAGAACTGGTGAGTAATGTTGTGGATGTCCCACAATTTGTGTTTAATGTTTTCATTAGATTGAGTTAAGTATTTTTTAGCAAGAATACCAGAGAAATGATGCTGTGTCCTTCTCAGTGCATCATAACATGACATTGATTTAATGTCTTATTACTGTGACATCAACTTTGCTTACTTGGTGAAGATGGTGTCTGCCTGATTTCTTAGCTGTAAAGTTGCTACTGTTCTTTTGTAATTAAATATATTTAAGGAGATACTTTGTGACTATTAACTATCATACCGTTTCTCAAACTTTCACCCACTAGGTTTAGCATCCACCAATGGTTCCTGCCTATAATTATTACTGTGTTATTTGCCTAACGGTGATTTTCTATTTCCCTCATTCCTATTTATCAATTGGAATTCTTTGGTATGGGAAAGATACTAAACATATCCCTTCTCTCCTATCTATTTATTCAAATATTTGGTTATATTGGTATGAACTCATGGGTATTTATTTTATTATACAGGCTATAATTTAATATGGTCATTATTTACTCTACTTATTCAGCTGTGGCCACTGGGAACTCTTTCAAGTTGGCTCCTATGCCCTTTCAACATGTCCTTTCCTTTTTGAGCACTTTACCTCTGGCGCTGCAAGGTGTTGCAGGCTTATTTTGAATATTCCCCATCCCAGCCCTGGAATCAGTCATTTCTCCATGGAATTCTGATTCCTTTTATTGAACAATGGTATTTAGAAACTACTGTTTGGGTACTAGGTATGCTTATTGCTATGAGAGTTTCATTTTTTCTAGGCCCTTTTAGCCAGGAAATCTACATATGCATAGATTATTTTCAACCTTTCTTTTTTCTTTGCAAATATTTTAAAGGCATATATTTCTTTCTAAATACTCTATTGTGTCCAAATTTTTATCACTTAGTTCTGTTATTACATTACCTTAGTGATTTCAGTGATATTCTTTTACTTAATGTTAGCAATGTTAGTTTCCAAACATAAAATTTATTTAACCTACCCTTTCGTGATTTGTTTCTAATTTTATTGCATTAAATATAGTAGGAGAACAATCTGTATAGCTCTGAATCTTGAGACTTAACTGAGGTTTCCTTTAATGCCAAGTACATAGATTGCATTTTTAAAAATAAAGATATAATCCACATATTATAAAATTTGCCTTTTTAAAGTATATAACTTAGTATTCTTAGTACATCTATAAGGCTGTATAACCAAAACCAATCAGAACATGTGGAGAAATGTCTATTTAAATCTTTCGCCCTCTTTTAAACGGGGTTGTTTTTTGTATCCCTTTTGTTTTCTACCATGAATTCTATTCATCAGATATGAAAAGTTCTACTTTAGTTTTTTTTGTATCATACTTTTTGCCTGGTTTATTTTCTCCACTGTTTCTGCTTCTGTTTTTACTGACATTTTCCTTTACTTTGTTGCTCACAGAGAACATTTTTTGGATTCTTAAAAATCAATCTGCATACAAGGGAACATAGATATGCGATGAAAGCTGAAATTATCAGAAATGATACAGGGTGGAAGATAACGGAACAAGAGTAAAGCCAGAGGTATGTCCTCTAGAAGTCTAACATTTAACAGAATGTTTTTAACATTTAACAAAAAAGACAAATGTGTACAGTTACAGTACCAGTTGCTAACTGCTATATTAAAGGTATGCTTAATTGGTGAAAGCATCCAAGGATCTGAGAATTTAGGGCTCTGTTGAAAGCAGTCATTTCCAAACTCTCTTAGTCATGCATCCTTTTGTTAAAATTTTTACAGTATGCATTATATTATCTATATGTAAACATATTCATATTAACTTTTCATATTTATGTTATATATACACATTGCCCATTATTAGTAGTATATACATGTGTAAGTTTTATATATATATATGCATTACTTCTATGATGTACTAATTAAGAGTCTCTCCCTTATATTACTGTGTAACTGGAGTCTGAGGAATAGAAAAAACGAGGCAGAGAATATATCTGAAAAAACAACTTAAACTTACCAAATTTACTTAAGGACATCAATTTACAAATCCAAGAGATTTAAGGAACCCCAAGAGGACAAATACAAAGAACACACAGCTAGGAATCTTACAGTCAAACTGCTAAAATCCAAAGATAAAGTGAAAATATTGACGGGAGCTAAAGAAAACCAACACAATGCATACAAGGGAACATAGATATGCGATGAAAGCTGAAATCATCAGAAACGATAGACGGTGGAAGATAACGGAACAAGATCTTTAAAATGTTGAAAATGGAAAAAAGTTTCAACCCAGGATTCTGTCAGGAAAATATACTTTAAAAAATGAGTGTAGACTTTCCATTTTTAGCCTGGCATATAAGAAGTTTGGAGGTTGCCACACCATTCTAACAAATAAAAAGTGGAACAAACTGAAAAATCTGCCAGAGAGGTGTGGTCACAGGGCAAAATGCTACTCCCAAAATTGGAGACCAAAAGGTGAATACAGAGAATCACAACTTCTGAGAGCTGAAACCAACAAGCACCAACCTCCATAGAAACCAGTGCTGAGGTAGGGAAACCTGAAATGTAACTGCTGGAGACTGAGTGCAGAGGAGTTTNTATCTTTATATTTTTACATACAGAACTCCAATCCAATATACAAAAGAGAGAAAAATGGAGCAAGTGGACAAATCTGAAACCCTGACCACTTGGTGTCTCTCTGGTAAATCCTACAACAACTATACTAAGCAAGTGAAACACAAACAAAATATGTTTTCCATAGCACTGAATCATTTGGCACAAATTTTGATTTGCCCAAAATATAGTGAAACACAGTACAATAGACACTGTCCTACACTATCAAGTTTTGATTATTCTGTTAAAATATTTGAGACCTGTAAGGTATGTGCACCAGCAGGACCTAGTAACGTCCATTTGCCCCAAATCTGTATCAAACCTGCTAACAATGCAGAATGTTATTAGCATTCTGAATGTACCCACATCTCTGGCATTTAAAAATAAAATCTGAAATAAGGATCCTGGATCAAATACCAAATTGTCATAAACAGCAGAGATGGAAGTTATTTATTTGGTAAGAGTCCATTGTATCATTACAAATGTCATTTAGAGAGAAAGTAATCAGGGTCAACAACAATCTTAAGATCACATATTTACACCTGAATTGAGGTACAATTGGTACTGAGCTATCATCTTTGTACTTGGTCTTGGCAAATATCCAGTGACACTGATTTACCAGGAGATGATGATTAGGACTGGCTACCATTACATGGCATAGAAAAAGGAATCCTGGCCTACAGAGTCATAGTCACAACACAAATATACAAGACCAATGAGGTTAACTGGATGACACATATAGGAAAAATAATCCTTCAATAATAAATGAGGACTTTAAAAAAGCCCCTCACATATGCTTAAAATAAAACCTCAAACATATAAAAAGTCCAAATTAAATTAAATTTCCAGAATTTCAAGTATATACTTCTATCTTAGTACGGCATCCATAAAATGCAAGGAACTTTCAAAATATACTTGGTCACTGTTAATAGTAATAATAAGACTACTGCTTGTCCATTTCTCATGACCTAATTCCTGTGTCTGAAAACATTTTAAATTCATGGTTCAAACATTATTTCCTTAAAAACAACTTTGTGAAAATGTTTTTACCTCTTCTTCCTCAATTTCATAGGTGTTAAGTTCATGTTTTTGACAGTAAGGACCCTCTTTCCAAGCTTCAGTATCACCACAGTCACAGAAACCTCCACCTCCTGATGTGGTCATCTTAAAAAAAAATTGTAAAGTATCTTGTCAATAAGTATTTACTGAGGGCTATCAGATTGTAAATGAGATATCAAGTGCTAAGGAAATAACATTTGCTAAGTGTTTAATTTCTTTGGAGGGCTAAATTAAATAAAATGCCAAATTCTCAATGTTTTAAGGTTAATAAGCCTAGAGGCTAATTTAAGTGATTTCCAAATAAAATAAGCTACTCTGTAGTGTCCAGTAAACTACAGATATTTTAAAGAGGTAAAATGTCTATCTACATGACTTCCTTAATTAAGAAAATCACGAGGGTCATCCTGCTGGGTTTTGGCTAAACTGGCATGACGTCGGTACCTATGCTACCAGGTTACAGTGCTATAATGTGGCAGATTCAAGTTATAAAGATTCCTATAGTTGCTGTCCCCTAGAAGAGTCTAGTAAGAGTGCTGTATCGCATAGAAAGTGACCAACAAAAACTATGAAACACTTTATTTTTCTTTTCTGACATTCCCTAAATAGCATTCTTTGAAAAGGAAGGAAGCTCAGGAAATAATAAAGTAGGTTGCCTGGTCATAACAACTTCTCACCACCTGAGGGGTTCATCCTTAAGAGATAGCAATGAATCAAGGAATCTGTCATGACAGAGCTTATTTTTAACATTACTGGTAGACTGGAAATTCTGTTTTTAAAAAACACTGTGCCAGGGAATTTTGGAATGGGTATTAGATGTACATTTAAGAATGAGCCCTATGATACTGTGCCCAAAGAAAGTATCTGAGTGTTACACATCACAATATAATTAGTGTAAACACAAAGAGTGACCAACAAAAACTATAGTAATGGTTTATTTTTCTTTACTAACATTCCCTAAAAAGTTATGCCTAGGTTCCCTGGAGTCGCAAAGATGTATGGGCAGTCAGCCATTTGGAAAATGGTAACTCCCATCCTAAAGCTTTTATGCTTGTTCTGGTTACCAAAGATAGGTCAAACAGCTTAAAGGAAACTGAGATTCTTTTACTGATTTATGAAAATAAAGAGTACATACCAAAATACAAGGAGTTCAATTTTGTAGCTGCTTCAGTTAATTATTAATACTTCAGTGAATAAAAAACAAACAGAGGAAAAGTTCTGAAACAACAGGACTCCTTAATCAGTAACAAGATTGCAGTATTCCATCTCTATCACTTTATTTGAGATTAGGGTTTAAAGTTCCTGCTACTAATAGTTCCTTAATATTTGAGTGTTCATGGCTCTGTCTTCAATTTCTAGTAGAGGAATGAGGACAGGCTTAGCAATAATCTGCCTTTATCTGTATCCTTGACCTAAAGCAAACATACCTAATTTTTGGAAAAGTCTTGAATACATTTACAGCAGTAAAAGGAAGTCAAATTGGTGGGTCTTATGTTCTAGAGTTGGGCCCTCTTCTATGTTACAGTAGATTCCTCTTTAATATTAAGAAATGACAAATCTCAGGTAGAAGATGACCAATAGGAAGAACATTTCTTAAATGTATAATCCTGTCCGTTTTCCTTACTCCTTTTCTCATACATCCTCCCTTCAGAACTTCCCTCTCACACTTTTAACTTATATTTAGCCTCTAAATTTTGATAAATTTCTTTATAAATCTAGAATTACAAAGATTAATAAACACAAATAGCAAAATAAAGTAGTTGAAAACCAATATGCAGGAGCTGATATCTGTTATCTTTCTTAAACCATGTGTTCCTAGAAGTCTAAATTCATAATTCACTTCTACTCTGCTATCCTATGTTTAATGGTGTTTAACATTTTTCTTACACCACTCTCCCACACTTTAGTGTTAAATCTTGGAATTTTAAAAAGGCAGGAAAGGTAGCTAGTATAAAACTCAATTCTAGGTATGGTTATTATCTGGACATTACTAACCCTATATCGGTGGTCTCTGTGAATACTTCCCAAAAAGCACTCCATGCATAAAACACAAGTTGGATCAACTGCACAGTCTCTGTAAAGTTAAAGAAAAAAAAAAATCAGAGTGTCATAAAATAACTATATATTTTACAACATAATATTTCAATTTGGAATCCATCCTAGAAGAGCCAGAATAGTGAAGTACCTCAGGGTCAAAAGGAAATATTCTTCTCAAAGTTCTGTCAGATCTTTGGTCATTGAGGTCAGCTTAAAAAATTTGCTTCTCATTATGAATGTGTGTTAGGTAATCTTTGAAAGCACATGTATTACTAGAATGGTAATTTCCTCCAAAGATTTGGGGAAATCACATTTTATGTTAAAACACAGATGTACATGGAATAGGTTTAAAATTTTAAGATATATCTTGAGATTTCAAATAACTTCCTCCAAACAGGTGTTTGAGACCAAGGGTCTTCAAAGTGATATATATATATATATGTACCCCCTTAGAAAGACAAGATGTCTAGCTAGGATGCAATAAGACAATATCCAAAGTTATATTTCTATTTAAATTTTAACTAATTTAAAATGGAAATAAGCATTCTAAGTGTTCAATATACAGACTGACACTGGTCTCCTCACTTGGTCTGTACATTTTGTTTGATGGTCACACAACACATGACTCACAAGACATCCTCACTGGACAGTTATGAGTCCCACAAGGCAGATGGGTTGACAGTGGTGATGTCAGTTGTTCCATTTGCTTTCATTATATTGCCAGCTAGATACATTTACAGATTATATTTTAAATAAGAGAATCTCTATATCCTATGAAATGAGATGGGAAGTCATAAAAATCTTTACATTTCCCCTTATCCTTGTTCCTGTATCCTCACAGGCAACCACTCTATTGTGTTTACTGTGTGTATTTTTATTTGTATATGTTCTTGCAAAATGTTTTTCAGTGCATGTATTTCTAATGTATGCAAATCTTATGTCATATATCTCATTCTATTCTTTACTTTTTCACTCCTGTCACATGATCCATTCATGTGCATGTGTACATCTGATCTGCTGCTTCTAATCGCTACATAATACACCCTGGTACACATCCAGAACATTTTCTCTCTACTATGTCTGCACTGGACAGCTGGATTACCTCCAGTTGTGTTCTACCACAAATAATGCTGCAATGACACCCTGTTAAATGTTCTCTTATGGGTACGTTTGAGACTTTCCTTGGCATGTAAACACAAGAGCCAAATTGTTGGGTTATATACATGTAAAGTTCTTATTCTGAATGCCATGCTACTGTCCAGAGTGGCTACATAGCCTCTACCAGTGTGTGAGGCTTTTTATAGCCCTGCATCTTAATATCAAGATAGGAATCACTCAGCAATATTAAACATTGCAAATATTGTCTACCATTGTCATTTGTGTAATTTTGCCCATGGTGTCCTGTGTTACACAGAACTACCTATTTTGGTGCAATTTCCACACACACAGACACAAACTGGTTTGTGCTTTGAGATTTTAAATTCTTTCCCCAATCCCAGGTCATAAAACTATTTTCACTTTCTTCTATTAACCTTTAGTATCTTCCATGTTTAAGCGTTTAATCCATCTGCAGCTTACCTTTGTATAAGATGTAGAAGAGATAGTTTTATTTCTCCATATATAATGAGATACTTTTTTTTTTACACACTCTTTAGTGAACTATCTACTTCTATTGATTGTGGTATCACCTTTATAATATATTAGGTTTTCACATATCCTTGGGTCTATATCTAAGATCTCTAACATGTCTGAGTGATACTATTTGTTTGTACCACACTGCACTACAACCAAGGCTTTGTAGTATGTCTTAATATTTGGTAGGGTAAATTCCCTTTTATTCACAAACTCTTATTTATTCTTCCATTCACCATTTAGGCTAAGTTTATAGAGTTCCTCAAAAGTATCCAGATAAAATTTTGATAGGCATTACTTGAATTTGATAAACTTATTTTTCTGTCTATGTGACTAAGAAACTACTCAGGAGTAATATCATCGTTATAAGAGTTAAATTATCATGTCCATGATTATTTCCTATGTCTTTTATTGAAGTTAAAAGCTTTCTCCATAAGTCCTTTGTATTCTTGATTAGAGATTACTATCTAAGTACTTTCTGGGTTTTGTTGTTTCAATGATATATATTTTTTTAAAAATCTAATTTCTAACTGGTTAAGGATTTCCTAGTTGGAAAATAAATAGTACAGATATTTAGTACCCTTGATAAACTCAAGGCAGTTCTAATAGTTTATTGCTTCTATTGTGTTTTATTCCAAGGTAAATGAGTATAGTCTGTAAATAATGACAATTTTATCTCTTTCCTTATAATATTTACAACTTTTATTTATTTTTCTCCCCTTATACTGTTGACAAGGACTCCAGCAATATGTTAACAGTAGCAGTAATAACAGACATCCTTGTCTTGCTCTATTACATATTTAAGTAAACATACCTTACTTACAGCTCTTCATTAAATATTATGTTCATTGTAGATCTACTAAGTGCCTTTGTAGAAATAATCAAGCATCTATCTTTTCCTATATAAACTGTACCTTAGAGTAATTAAAGGATTGATGAGAGACTGTGTTTTTTTTACAGAAGACTAGATAAAAAACAAAAAAAGGAATGACAACTTAGACTGCCACGATTTTGCTAGCCCCCAATGAAATAATGATCTGGCAATAAGCATCAGTGACTCCTAAATCGTTAGGTACAAAGGCTAATGAAGACCTTTGTAATGGTTGTATTGCCAGGTACCTAGCCCATCAATCAACCTTAGCAACAAAAACAGCTAAGCATCATGTGTCTCCTGATATGAAGAATTAAGTTACATATAATAATTATAAAGTTATTATTCCCCCAACCCACACCATACAACAGAATTTAATCAGGCCTAAGTACCTGTTCAGAGGAAATAGAGGGAATAAAGAAACATATTAAGCAATTCCATGTGGGCACAATCAGCCAAATCCAGAATGTGGAAAATTTCACATGGCAAATGACCTGGTTTATTAGTCACATAAATAGGAAACAGAAAAAGAATGAGGGAGAGAGCTATAGTACATTAAAAGAAAAAATGAGGGATAACAGCCAAATGCAATGTGTAAACTTTGAATCTACACTTATGAGTCAATCAGAATTTCAACTCTGAGTAGATATTAGATAATACTAAGTAATTAGTGTTAATTATTAAGAATGTTAATGGTTGTAGAGAAAAAAGCTGTATATACTGGGTATTGATAAAAAGACATGCTGTCTGGAATTTGCCTCAAAATAGAAAATAGTGTGTATGTACAGAGATTAAAAAGAGTTGGTCTATGTTGGTTATTGCTGAAGCTAAGGGATAAGTGTATGTCAGGTTTATTATACTAGTTAGCCTTTTATTATGTTTAAAATGTCAATAGAAAGTTTCTAAGACTCTAAAACACACTCAATACAGTTCCCATATGTATACTTTTGCTAAGAATTTATATCATAAACAATTATTGAAATTTATAAAATGTTTTTCTGAATCAAATCAGGAAAATCTATTTTTCCTCTTAACTATTAAAATGGCAAATTACATTAACAACTGTTTTAAAGATGAACTATCTTTGAATTCCTGAACTAAACACTATTTGATCATCATCCATCACTTTTTTAGTATATTCTTAGACTCAGATGGCTGGTATTTTATTTAGGATCCTTTCATTCACATTAATAAAGGAAATGGCTTTTATAATGTCTTCTTTTCAATCTATCAGGGACTGAAATCAAGATTATTATTCTATTTTCTGTAGTAACTTGTGTAAGAAAAGAATGAATTGTCCCTTTAAAATTTGGCAGAATTTACCTATGGTCATTCCAGTATGGGATTTGGGGGAGGGAAGATCTTTGTCATTTTAATGTTTTTTATACTGTATTCAAGTTGTCTATCACTTTTCTACAAATTCATCTATTTCATCTAAGTTTTCAAGTTGTTTAGCATTATAGTTCTCATATTTCAGCAGCTGCCAGACTTTCTTGGTTCACAGCACCTTTAGTATCTCAATAGTTTTTTTTCCTAGACCGAAAGAAATGCTTGTCTGTTTACTAAATAGGTTCAAACGACTTAGTAGCCATTGGGCGCTGCACAATTTCTCAAATCTTTGAATCAGACTCGACACTTTTTGTACTCCACAGGTATTTGCTTTTCAATCACGGCAATGCCAGAGACCCAGCTTTACAAGATTTGACATCATTCAAAGGAATGCAGTGAGTGTACTTCTTAATTTTCATTTTGAATTTTCTGTACTTGCATCTTCTCTTTTGCTTTTTCAGTCTTGCCAAAAATTTGACTTCATAGTTACAGAGTCAGTATCACAACATTTCACTTTTGTTTCATTTTCTGACCTTTTAATTTCCCTTCTTTTTCTTTTGAGTGTGCTCACTGTTCTTTTTCTAACTTCTTAACACCAAAAGCTTACCTTGTTTATTTTTTTAGTAATACTACTTACAGAAAATTTGCAAAAATATTGAGTCCCATTATACCCTTACCGAACTTTCCTAATACTAACCAGAGTACAAGGGAATTAACATTGGCACAATATTAACTACAGACCTTATTAAAATGTTATCAGTTTTCCAATAGGTCTTTTTTTCTTTTCCAGGATCCAGTATGGGATCCCACATTGCATTAGAAGCCACATATTCTTAATATCCTCCAATTAGTAAGTTCTTCAGTCTTTTCTTGACTTTCATGACCAACACCCTTTTGAAGAGAACTGGTGAGTAATGTTGTGGATGTCCCACAATTTGTGTTTAATGTTTTCATTAGATTGAGTTAAGTATTTTTTAGCAAGAATACCAGAGAAATGATGCTGTGTCCTTCTCAGTGCATCATAACATGACATTGATTTAATGTCTTATTACTGTGACATCAACTTTGCTTACTTGGTGAAGATGGTGTCTGCCTGATTTCTTAGCTGTAAAGTTGCTACTGTTCTTTTGTAATTAAATATATTTAAGGAGATACTTTGTGACTATTAACTATCATACCGTTTCTCAAACTTTCACCCACTAGGT